GGTCGGTGATACAGAGGGGCAACCCAGACGTCTTAACTCAGGGTGCCGGGTTCATAACACAGCATGCTGCCCACTACCCAATAACCCATTCATTATAACGATGTCATTTATACAGGAAGGCCACAGTGAGTCTCGAGAGCCCTGATTTTGGATGTTTGGCAAAAATTCTCTAATAGCATTGTATGCGCGTATGTTGAACTTCTTTCGCGCCGTACGTAGCCAGCCGTGCTAATCGGAGGTGCGATTAGCACAATTGGCATTGATTTTACATGTGGGAAACTGGAGTACCCAGAAAATACCCACGCTTACGAGATGATACTCTCAAATCATGGCAACCTCACAGCCCAGGGGGGTGGGGGGGGGGGTTGTAGTTTAACCAAAACTACGTTGGTTATATCTACACTGGTCATATATGCTAACAAAAAAGTTTTCAGACTGGATGGCTTGGCTGGATTCCTGTCCGACTGGTGCCACGCTCCCCAAGTGGTGGTTGACGTCCGCCAGGGACGTGCGGTCAGGGGAGGCAGGTGAGGCACAGCCTCACCAACTGTCATACTCTAATTAAAATAGCTGTTACGAAAAGTTAAAAATAATAAACTAAAAATGAAGATTTTTCCACTAATCTGTGTTATTAATGTCATTTATGTACGATTCCAATCATTTTTATAGTCAAATCGCCAAATTTGCGGAGCTCTGCTGCAAATACAGGGAGAGACGAGAGGTGAGACAGTGACGAGCTGAGCCTCCCCTCTCATTGCGCAACCCCTCAGAAACTGGATGGAGCGTGGGCAATAAGCACGTGCCTGTTACTATCTCTTTGTGTGTCACCAATGTAATGTTTGTAGACCCCTTTATTTCATGTCCTCGCCGTCCATACTCCAGGGTACAGGTAATTTATTTCACGTATGTGTATAAAGATATTTAGGCTCGCTGGTTTCGTCATTAAACTGCAATGAAAAAGCACCAGGGGAGGCAGCTATCACATCTGCCTCACTGAGGGGGGCGTGTCTGACACGCCCCCCTCAGTGAGGACACGTCCCTCTCAGTGAGGACACGCCCCCTCAGTGTGTGAATCTGACTCTGATACCAGCCAGTGCCTCCCCAGCCATTGACCTCACCGCACGTCACTGACGTCCGCTGCATCCCAACAGCCGTTGGTCCGGGGGGTTCCTGCGTGCCTGCCATTCTCCACCCCGAGCGTGTATCCAGCGCCAGTGATATAATTCACGTTCTGTGTATATGTGTGATATTATACAGTACTTGTATAATATCACACATATCACACATATACGCATACGAAATCAGGGCTCTCTCAAAGAACAAATTTGACCTCAGGTCTTCGCTCATTTACCAGCTGCACATTCCCTATTGCCGTACAAAAACTGGAAGGGCCTTTGCTATTGATGCCCCCAGGATCTGGAATGATATTGCCAATAAACTGCAACTTGAATCGCTACCAATGAGATCTTCTCTCAAAACTGCTCTAGAGGAGTTATACACCCCTAGCTGCCACTGCTATTCATTGGCGTAAAATAAAATAAAATGTTTTTGCAAAGTATTATATAAAATAAAATATTTTCGCAAAGTATTATCTGTATTTTGATTTAGCGTGCTGATCTTAAAGGTGCATTGAAAAATTTGATATTCCGACTGATGCTTGTTGTTGTGGAGTAACTCATGCAGCCAGCTATGGCTGTAGGATTTGGTGTTACATGTTATTTATGTTGTTTATGGTAAAAAAAATTCGGTCACAGTCCTTGTGATCACTGTTACGTTGCAATTATGGCTTTATTTTTTGGTGATTTCGAAAAGTTGTTTTGGTTTGGACATGTTTGTTTTGTTGTAGTACGGAGTTAGACTGATGGCCTTAAGCTAAGTTGTCTTGTAGTTGTTGTTGTTTGACTTGCATCCCACTGGAATTTTTTGCACACAGCGTTGGTGTATGGTGCTTTTTTCAGGAATATTGTTTTTTTTTTCTCATGGATTTTCTGTTTGCACAGTCACATAGTCACTTTAAGATGTTTTTCTTGTTCGTGTTTTTGTTTTTTTGTTTGTTGCGGTTACACCCCCCCCCCCCCCCAACACACCACCACTACACAAACTATTTAAGCTACAAAAAGACTTTACCAGCCAAGGCCCACTGAGATACATCGCTCTTATTCTTGGTTCTTTCGGTAAAGTCACGTAGAAGGGAAACAATAAAATAATTTTATTCTAGATTTGAAGCTTTCGTGACTGCAAGAATTCATACTCTTTGGTTTTATTAACTCAGCCCCTCACCCCACCAAGGTCCCCCTACATGACTCCGCCCCCCCCCTCCCTTAACCTGTATTTAAGCCCGAGGTTCCCAGAGCCTCGCCACTTGGTGCAGCGATTTTTTGCTGTGCCTGTTTCCACCTGAAGACGGAAGCTTGTGTTGCCTCCGAAACGTCGTGGTTTAATTGTTTATTTTATTTTTAATTTGTTTTTTACCTACGTAACTTTACCGAATAAAACCAAAGAGTAATAATTGTATTGTTTTATATTTTTTTATTTTATTGTTTCCCTTCTACGTGGTGGTGACTTTACCGAAAGAACCAAGAATATGAATCCCCTGCAGTCACGAAAGCTTTAAATCAAAATACATCGCTCTCGTTCAGATGCGACCCAGCGGCCACGAATGATAACGCAACGAAGTGGGCCACCATGACGGGAGAATTTACAGCAAGTAGCCACACGAAATGCTCTGAAATGCGTCTTGTTGATTCTCAACGTAGCAGGGGGGGAAACGGAGGACCACGCAGACCACGTGGGAGGGGGGGGGGAAGAGAGCAAGACCGCAAACTCCAAATCTACAGCAGGTGTCAGGGTTTGGGTGGAACAGGCGAGGGAGTCAACATCTCGTGGCCACTGTGATGATGATGATGAGCGAGAGACGTCGATGAGAAATGGTGGAGGGAGGAGAATTGATAGTTGTGTTTTAGACGCTTAATGTTTTTGTATCTTTTAATTTTAAAGTTATCTCTCGGGTGACATCCCCTCTCCCCGCTTCAACCAAATTGTTCGTGACGTCATCGCTAATCCACTGAGCCATCCCAGATCTCATGACGTCATCACCCCTTCTCACCAACTCGCCCCAATCTCGCGTCATCACACTCTCACCTATCTCGTGTGGCGTGACGTCACCCATCGCCACTTCACCCTAGTTCCCATGTCACCACTCCCATCTGGACACCCCTCCATGTCTCGTGACATCATCGCTCCACAACTCGGCCCTCATCTCGCGTGGCGTCATCACACCTCTTCTTCACCTCGGTCGCATGACGTCATCACCTATACCATGGGACTCTTTTGCCAGTATCAAAGTGTTTTCATACTTTCAAAGTGTGAAAATATTTTGATGCTTGCAAAAAAAATATCCCCTGATATAACTGCTTACCCCGAGCCATAAATGATTATCATACTTTGCATTGTCTTTGTATTGTTCGCATATTGGCGTTCTCTGGTCTGACAGTGGTGTAGTCCAATCAGTTTCAAAGACAATGCCACACATTATGTTTTGGTTGCATGCTCACCACAAGAACGTGCGGCTAACGCAGACTCGATTCCTTGAGGCCGTCCATAAATGACGTCACGCACCTAGGGGGGTGGGGGGGGTGTCAGACATTTGTGACGATGTGTGACGAGGAGGGGGGGGTTTGAGAAATGTGACGTCACATCAAAATGCGCAACTTTAAATAAATATAGACAGCACGTTCTACTTAATTAAATAGACTTTTTTAATACATGTTTTCTCCTACAACATCAGAGTGCAGCGGCACATTAAATACGCACTACAATGACAATAATTTAAAGCGATTTGAAGCATGTTCTATTTTGAAAATGGAAATATGTTTTTTTTGGGGGGGGAGGGGGGCACAGCTTTGTGACGTCATATTTGAGGGGGGGTGTCTGACTTTTTGTGACGCCATGTGACGAGAGGGGGGTCAAAAATCGTCCAAAATCGCGTGACGTCATTTATGGACGTCCCCTTTCGTGTTCGAACATCGTAACACCTCCTGTGTTCTTGCCAGAAAGGGTAAAAACCTATTATTATTTTTTCACACTGTGCTACAGTCGTCAAACGTTTAGGGGGGACGTAACCCCCCACTTTTTACTCTCAGCGAATACAGCGATGACGCAGTCCGGCACTCTGTGCTGTGCACGGACGGTCGCATTCGTTTAATCGCGTTCTCCAAAAAAAAATCAAAATTTCGAATGCTCACCTGCTATTCTAATTCTTATTTTTCATATCGTGATCACAAATCTCCACCGAACCACCCCAGGTCTCGCGGTGTCAATCCAGTAACTCACATCACGTGATGCATGAATAAATCTACATTGGGCCCCTTGTTCATACAATCCTTATTGGCAAATCTGCGCAATACTTTGATAATTCATTAACCCAAATTGGCAAATGCAGGACAAATTAAGCCGTCAATCCAATTGTCTTTTAACACTCCCAAGAGCAAGGATTGGAATAGGTGACGAAGTCTTTGCCCTTACAGCACCAACATTTTTTCTTCCCTCCATTGATGTCATAAATGTTCATTCAAAAAATATTCCGAAGCAAAAGGTTAGTGCTGGATACAGCCTCATTTGCAACTATAACTTAGATCCATTGCCTTTGTGTCGTTTGTTCAATGTTAATGTGCAATTTTTTTTATTGAGGAACTGAATAATTCCGTTATATTTGTTGTTGTTGTTGTTTTTTTGCCTTGCTCAATCTTGACAAATCTGACTTTCGTTTTGTTATTGTTTATATTTAGTGCTTACAATTTTCTTTATTTTGCACTCCTCTCGTCTTGTATTGTTCGCCGTTGTAACTTGCTGACCCGCCCATATTGGACATCAGTGAAAAACAGCTTCATCGCTCATCGTATTCCTCCTGCAGTCTCAATAAAGATTCTCATTCAACGCAGTATCAACCACGGTCTCTCTCCAAAAGAAAAAAGTATTTTTCGTCTTTTCAAGCGACATTTAACTTCTGCATCGTCGTCCGTCGTGGGGGGGACACCCGCCCTGAGGGACCCCCACGGGGGAGGCCCGCTGGGCGTGACCCCAACTATGACGTCACGCCGTGTTTTTTCTCAATGGGAATCCTTCCGTGCACATGAGCGCGCTTCCCCGCCGCTATCGCCGCCGACGTCGCCTTTTCTCTACAATTAACTCCTTACCCACGTTACCACCAATGCGACTATCGTCATCATCATCGTCGTCGTCGTGATCGTTAACACCGCCGTTTGCCTCTTAAGCGGACGCGCAACACACACACACACGAGCGTCATCACCGCGTCCATTTCCTCTGCACGGGCGAACAAGGCCAAGCCGAGTGGCGTTCAAAATGAGCCTGCTCGTGATGATCATAACAGGAGCCGCAATAATTAGCAATGCGACGAAGATGATGGGGGCTTTGATGATGATGATGTGATGTACCCTGGCCGTGGGTTGCTGTGTGTCAGCACTGCCCTTGCTCAACTCTTAGTGGGGCTGGTGGTTTTTTTGGTTGTTGTTCGTGAGTGTTTGGATTGGGTTCGGGTCCACGTTATTGCGCTGGGTATTCTGAACAAAGGGAGACAAAGGCGAATGCGGAGTTTTCGCTCCTGAAGGTGATGATGCCACGATCAAAGCAAAGCAACCCGCAGCCTCTGAGCCGTGAGTAACGCGCGCGCGTGTGTGTTGGTGTGTGTGTCCCATTCATTTGTATTACCCATGGTGAGTGCAACTCATTTTAAATCCGATGCTCAAGCGAGGAAGGAAAGATTGTGGGCAGGCACGTGTTTGTGCGTCACATTATTGTTTTGTTATACAAGTGACAACTTGTTTTTTATCCATGTGCAGCTGTGTGTGTGTGTATATATGAGAATGGTTGATAGGCGGGCAAATGTCTTTGTGCTTTTGTATGGGTCTCTTTAATGTGTGTGTGTATATATTACTGTAAATGCACTGGTATTTAAATTTTGAAAATATAGCCAGAAACCCCAGCAACAACCAGAATAAAAAAAATAATTCACCCCTGAAAACCTAAGGTATTAAACACGTGTGCTGTCTACAAAGAAATATCAGCCGCAAGGATGATGCAAAACCACCAATTCCTGCAGAACTCCATTGTGGTCTTCGTCAATGTAATATTGTTTTGTTTTGTCCATAAGCAGCCTTGGTGTGTGGCTGTAACAGCATTTCCGGCCTACAGTCCACTAATAGTACACGTGTCTAATGTATATACACAATAGAGTGCCACGTTATTATGCATACACAGATGTGTGTGTGTGTGTGAGAGATAATGTAAAGGAGTGCACAATAAACACTATACATTATTAGCGTTGACTGATCAGGCACGTGTTTGTACGTGTTCCCAGTTACTGTGTAGGAGACTAAACACGCCACGTCTAATCCACATTCAATATCTGAAGGCTGTATACGAGAAGATCTTTGTTACGGGCTGATGTGTGTTTATTTGATGTGTACTGCAGTCCCGTAACACGTTATTTTATTCTCACGCGGGCTCACTTGAGCAATGCGTGATGGCACAGGTGTATGCCCTGTTAAGTAACTGGACACACACACGTGTATGTGCTGCAATGCACAATGACGTGGGTTCGCTTTAGCTATTTTTATTGCAGTGTACTGGATGCACGGAAGGGAATTGTATTCCACGTAATTAATCGCACAATGCAGAATTTTCGATTAATTCAGCTTTACGTGACTAAAATAGCTGCCTAGCACACAGACCGTCTCCGTGTGTTCGTGACGCTTGTGTGTTTAGTTATTTTCGTCGTACATTTCACGCAGTTAACCGTGTGCGTTTGACTTCACGCGAGCATTCACTTTTTCACTTGTATGCATATTTATATTTGTCAAGAGACGTTGTCTTGCGTTGTGTTTGACATGTATGATCAGGGATACGACACGTGTGTGTGTGTGGTGTGCCATCGCTGCATTTCATGCGTACCAGACCAGCCGTGCACACGCCTGCATAATGTAATGCTTCATTTGCCTGGTTGCTTTAGACCGCTACTCGGCTGCGTGATGGGCAGCAAAAGGGCAGTGGAGTTGAAAACAATGTTATACTTTACTTGTATGCTCCCCTACCCTCGCCCACACGCACTGAACAGTTTGTGTGGTTACAAAAAAAATAACCCCCTCGACCGGCACGGCATAGGGAGGCCCTCATCCAGCAGTGGATTGACACAAAGACTGTCATATTACCACCTTTTGACCATTGACATTGTATGCAATCAAGTAATGTTACAGCATTGTGATAGCAATACTTAAAGCTTACTATACAGCACAGTGTTGTGTAACAGGGCTGCCCACACTGGTGAAATAATAAAGTTGCGTTTGGAAAATGTGTTATTGCATGCAAAAGGCTTCGCGATTGGCTGGAATGAGGTCATATAAGGGTGTTTGAGTGTTCTGAATGCAAAACGTTAAAAGTGGCAGCCTGCGGTTTTGCATGACATCATCAGCCATGATCTAGACCTTGGCCTCCCCAATTGACCACCGCTTATCATGATTCCTTGCGACATAACTATCCACTTTGCACCTGCACACAGGCTAATTTCATGACTCTATCTCTGCCGTAGACGTCCTCCCGGGTGCATTCCCTCCATTGGCTGCGATTCAGGTTTTTTTGTTAATTAATTTACAACCGACCACCTTTTCTTCCAGCGACGTTTTCTGCTCAAGCCCACTTATTTGTAACCGTATAAATTATGTTATTACCCCCACCCGCCGCCCCGCATATGTTCACGAAGTTAGGATTGATATTTCCATTATTTTTATTTTCTGAAAATGCACCAGATGGGGTTTTCCACGACTTTATTGGGCCAAAACTCTCTTTCTTGCTTGTTCCCTTGCCTGACCTGAGTGATGTCTTTGGGCTGCAAAATGTAGTTGAGGTAAGGTAAGGAAGAGCATGGTCCTTCGCTTTTTCATAAGGTAAAGGTGCAGTCCTGTAATTTCTCACGCCACTACTGGTAGAAGGGCCCATGTGCTAATCATTACACTAAGCAGCCACCCCATCTTTATAAAGTAAGGCTTTCAATTATACATTTGATTGGTTGGCATAGTTGAATAGGGAAGGGAGGCTAGATTTAGAAGTGTTGGGCATGTGTTGGGAAGAGATTTCATGAGAAAGGCGACAGGGGTGCCGCTGGTGTAGGGCATAAGGAGTAGAGGTCGACTGAGGGAGGGTAAAATGTAAGGATGCTGTGGAACACAATATGAGAACAGTGGATGTGACCTAGAGAAGAGGCACAGAATATAAGCCCATGGAGAAAGAAAATCTGGGCATCTGACCTGGTGCTATAATGGGATTTTTTGGCTTAGAGGAAGTTGAACATTGTCCAAATGTATTAAAGGTATTAAAGAACATCACTCAGCTTTCAAACTGCACTGAAACCTAATTATCCACTGCTTAACATGTCCTTAATGGTTAGAGGGCTGGTATATACCAAGAGTATATGTCAGTTAATATGCTTTCTACCCAGTAATACTTTGTCTTGGGGATGTGCACATTCGTGATTCTAGTTTTGAAGGCACTGCATTTTCTCAGACCGGAGATAATGTTGTCTTAACAATCTTATAGGATTTGGCGATTAGATATTATCACTCTATAAAAATGAATGCCATAACTCACGGATATGAGAAAATGCGCAGGTTTATGACATAAGTCGTACTGTTAATAAAAGTGTGCTTGGGAAAATCACGTCGCCAGAATAAATGTCCAGTGGGCAATAAAAACAATACCGTACATGGCAGCAATGAGAGTGAATGTGCCAGAGGACGTCCACAAAACGATTATATCAGCTCATGTGCAGGCGCTCGGTGTGGACGACTAATTGTCGATCTTTCATCCAGCTGTGGATTGATCATGGCTGATGCTGAAAATGTCATGGGCGCAGGACTACAAGATATTAGAATTGCTTTGTGCAACGAATGAAACCGATTGAATACGGGGGATGTAAAGAATGCAGTCCACAGAGAAAACAAGGTTATGCAATAAATAAATAACTGATAAGCTTTCATGTGTATTAATCACACAGTGTGAAACGTTTTCAAGGTCACAGACGACTTAAATAATGATTCTACTATTACTACGCTATAGTAATAACCAAATTGAGATCTGGAGGAAAGAACCCCCCCCTCCCACTATATCCTTTCAAACCCGTCAGCTGTAAATCCCACAGCGCATGAGCGATGGTAATCGCTATTGGTCAGCACAATTGACCCAAGCTAGTCCCCGCCCCACCTCTGCGCCAATCCCCGCTCGCGTTTCCCCCCCCCCTCCCCCCTCCCTCTGGAACGCGATGCCACAAACCAATTGGGGCACCTCGTGGTTGGCAAGTGGCGCGGATGTGATGTGGAAAATACACCGAGCTCCTTTAACTGGGGCACGTCCGGCTCAGTCCATTTGTCAGCGGTGATGGGGGGGGTGGTGGTGGAGGATTTGACTGGGGTTGTCTCCGTTATTCAGAGTAAACTGGCGGGTTTTCCCCAAACACGTTTAATTTAATGAAGACTTTCTTAAAAGCCATCCAATGTTATTTCTTTTGGATCCCCTTTGCTTTCGGATTCTTGTAAATGTGAATGAAATTGGAGGGGGGCCACCACCACCACCCCCCCCCCTCGGGGCCACCCCCCCCCCCCCCCCCCCAGCCCTCCGCTCCCATTTGCCTCTACATTTGAGGTCACGACCCACACGGGTTTACAGAGGAGGGAGGGGGGGGGGAAGTCCCCCCCCCTCACCCCCCCCCCCGTACCCCCCCAACCCCCCCCACCCGCAACCGCCGCAGTTGCTAAGCAGAGAGCCGAGAGCTTTATTATGCGGAGCTCGCTATAGCAACAAAGCACGCTTGAGTAAAGCCAAAAGCGAGTGTTCGCATGCTTCTCGGATCGACTATCTGGATATGCAACGTTGGCATCGGATAAACCTGCGATGTGGGGGGGGTGGTGGTTGTAGGGGAGAGAGAGAGAGTTCTGAAACGTTGCCAGAGCTCTGTGCGTAGACACAATGGACAAATGCTCCACCCCATCCATCGCTCGTTCCGTGCAAGAGAGGGAGGCAGATGGGACAAAGGGTTTAGGGGCTTGTGTGGAAGAGCCGGCGAGGCGTGAAGGACGTGCGTCTCCGAGCAAATCGGGAGGCGAAATGGGGGCGGGGGGGGGGCTGGGGGGCCCCCGTTGGCTCCAAATATCTCCTTTTTGGAAAGTTACGTAAAACTGGTGGCATGTAAGGGGTGACAACGTATGAAAACGAGAAATAACTCTACGGAGGAGAGTAGTAAGCAGGGGCCACGTACGTGAAAGCCATCGGCTGCCTATCGTGTTTAAACGTTCGATAGATTCTTTGGCATTTGTCCGGTAAAAATAACAAAATAAACCCCCATAATTAATACTGTCACAAAAAAAAAGACTTAACACCTTGTGGTTTGGTGATACCGACTTGGCAGCGGTGCGATTGGGGCCTTGTTTTCACGGTCGATGTGCAGTGAGGGGTAATTCCCCGAATCGTAGTCTAAATACTTGTCCTTTGCGAGGCTAAATTATTAATGAATTCAGCGAGGTTTTTATTTTGTACAACACGTGGATCATTTGACAATACAACGGAGCAGTTTTCACCTCCGATCAAAACAACTGCAATTATTCTGAAT